GGACGCTGAACTGCGCGGGCAAATGATACTTCCCGGTTGCCCAGGCCGAGGAAGGGGGTTTGGTTGAGGTACCCCACCTTGAGCCTTCGACTCAAAAGTCTGACCCGCTAGGCAGTGAGAGAATGTAGGGTTTTGTTCGGGGACCCTGAGCCTAGCATCTGACTCAAAAGTCAGACCCACAAGGCAGTGGGAAAATGTGGGGTTTTCTTTGGGGACCCTACCCGGAGCCGACGACTCAACAGTCTGACCTGCTCGGCTGCAGGGGGTTGGCCTAACCCGAGTACGCAGGGAATAAGGCGTTACTGTCTCATCCCTGATGCGGCTGCGCACAGCAGGTGCCTTTTGAGCAGCACCGGCTCTTTGGCATTAAAAGTATTTCGACCGTATTGGATAATGCGCCGGCGATCACGGTCAACCGTTGGGTGATCGGAGTGTGCGGTTTTTGGGGCCGACCTTTTCTAACCCGTCCTCCCTCGGGGGAAGGCAGCAGCGCTGCATCCATAAATATGGACATGCTGGTCGGCTAGGGGAACAGCTTACTGCCTTCACACTCCTGTCGCAGAGGACAGTACGACTTTACTCCCAGATCGCCTCGTAGCACGATTACTCGTAGTACGGGGTCTCGCCGCTCTTGGTCTGGCTGCTCCCCTTTGGCCTTCTTGGCATGGTTGCACCTTGTGGAACGAAGTTCCAGCCAGTGTAGCCCGCGGGATCGCTGCAGCACTCAAGCCCGACCACCACGTCAGGGTGGCAGCTGTAGGTCGAGACTAATCCAAGAAACCCCTTTGGAAGTAACCTTGCTAGTCCAAAATAGGTCACGAATGTATAAGGTGCTTTTATCAGACAGGAATCACTGGTTTACTGTATTGTTTGCATTGAAGTTAGTTAGAAAAACATAAATGGATGAACTAACCTGTTCGTGGTAATTTAGATTGGCCAGTAATACTGTACGCTCTTCAAACAAGGCATCATAAGGGCACTTATCCAACAGTTTTCTTGATGAATAAGAGGCATTCGGATGAGTTAGGAACCGTAACAATCGCCGACGGAGTCTGGCAACTGGACCCGATTTTGGCCTCTCATCATTAACACGAAAGGTAAAAGGCTTTCCGACTGGCTGGATGGCGCGAACACGAGCCCTGTGGGAGAAGAACAGAGTAAGCAGGGTAACCAAACTGTGTAAACAAAGTGAAAATGGAGAGTTACGGTGGGCCGTCAAATCCAACATTCAGAAAACGAGAGCTGTCAGTCCTGAGAACAGCGATGTGAAGCCAGATTTGGCAAGCGCACAATATGTGCGCTTCATCGAAATTGAGAGCGCCGCCTCACACAGTGATGCTCTGTTTAAGTGCAAGCAAAAACCGCTTCGAAGCTTTATGACCAGACGGGCTCTCAATCGGATTGAAACAAGGATCTCAAGCTGATCAGCAATCGTGAACAGATTGAAGTTTAATATTTCAAAGAATCAGACGGTTATAGCATATAAATGGGATTCAGATGGTCTCAGATGCTTCTTTTTTGAAAAGACCGATTTGCTCATCCCGGAGCAAACATGGCCTTGGATTCATCGAACAAATAATCGGTTCATTTTCTGAATATACTCATCCTTACTGTTTTTTTGTCCACTTTCAGGGGCTTGGGAACGCAGATTTTGACTTCTAATTTACACGTTTAATTTGACTTCGAAAAAGCACAACTGTTGACCTACTTAGGAATGATGCGACCAAAATGCACAACAAAGTCGATTACACGATCCGCAAGTAACTGCGGTATGACTTGAATCCGGTTGTTGGCCCGGACGGTTTCGCACTGCTATCCAGTGGCCGCCAGAGTAGCCAGTGAAACTCCTAAATGCAGTTGAAAATAACGTGAGTGCCTTAGTGCAATGAGGGAATTAGACAGATAACGCATTCAGCCCGTTTAGTAAGGGAAATCACTAGATGCGGAACTCTGGGCTGTACGAGGGATGGCCAATACTGATTACCGATTGAGCGCTTAGTCAAACTCGCTGTTGAGCCGTACGACCTGAATTATAAATGTGCGATAAAGTACCGTCGCCTAAACGTTGTGTCCACCCTAAATGCGTCAAATCACACGTTCGCGTGTAGTTTCGAATCGGTTTCCACTGGCATTGTGCCGCAAATGATCAGGATTGTTTTTAAAAAAATACTACTTGCGTAGCGTGTGTGCGATTCATTTGGATCAGCATCTTCTGAACAATACTGATTACCGATTGAGCGCTTAGTCAAACTCGCTGTTGAGCCGTACGACCTGAATTATAAATGTGCGATAAAGTACCGTCGCCTAAACGTTGTGTCCACCCTAAATGCGTCAAATCACACGTTCGCGTGTAGTTTCGAATCGGTTTCCACTGGCATTGTGCCGCAAATGATCAGGATTGTTTTTAAAAAAATACTACTTGCGTAGCGTGTGTGCGATTCATTTGGATCAGCATCTTCTGAACAATACTGATTACCGATTGAGCGCTTAGTCAAACTCGCTGTTGAGCCGTACGACCTGAATTATAAATGTGCGATAAAGTACCGTCGCCTAAACGTTGTGTCCACCCTAAATGCGTCAAATCACACGTTCGCGTGTAGTTTCGAATCGGTTTCCACTGGCATTGTGCCGCAAATGATCAGGATTGTTTTTAAAAAAATACTACTTGCGTAGCGTGTGTGCGATTCATTTGGATCAGCATCTTCTGAACAATACTGATTACCGATTGAGCGCTTAGTCAAACTCGCTGTTGAGCCGTACGACCTGAATTATAAATGTGCGATAAAGTACCGTCGCCTAAACGTTGTGTCCACCCTAAATGCGTCAAATCACACGTTCGCGTGTAGTTTCGAATCGGTTTCCACTGGCATTGTGCCGCAAATGATCAGGATTGTTTTTTAAAAAAATACCCCTTGCATGAGTGCTGCAGCGTAGCGTGTGTGCAATTCAGTTGGATCAGCATCTTCTGAGTGTCGTATGATGGGCGGCAATAAGTCCGGATCTGCAAAATCCGACGATGCTGCGGAAATACGTTTGGATCCTGGTAGGGGCCATAGAGAATTACGTACAGCATAAGAAAGAGGAGCTCCGTCCTAAAAATCCAAGAAGAGTACTGGAATCAGCACAATGATATGGAAGTGAAGCAACCATCACGCAGCATGACAAAACATAGTAACAATCCGCTCAAACACTAACTCCGTTGTTGTTGAAGCTGGCCTGGTATCTCTCTACCTATTGACAGCTATGTTGAAGCTTGATAATGAAAGTGGATCTTGCATGGGATGAAAAAGTATGACATGAAGAACCGCGTTTCAGTATCGGCCTTATTCTTAATTTTATGGAACGATACGCGTGATATCTACCCCAAACATACCTGAGACCAACAACCAAGTAGTTTCAAGACATTGGGGGTTTTTGAAAAAAGGCACCTGGCAATTTTCACCACAGAGAGAGGCTCGCCACTGGAAATGGGCAAATTATTCCACGTGCATCCAGTCAAAGTCAGAAGTAAGTTGCAAGTAAGTAAGCAAGGATTCCCTCCCGCCGTATGATACCAGTAATGAGAGTACTGCTCTTCCACCAATGAGGCGATTGGAGTGACAGAAACGCTTGGTTGCTCAAAACCAAAAACCATTTACATGTATCTTTTCCGTAGTGACTAATGACTGAAAAGTGCTCTCAGTCGCGTCCCATCAAAGTGCTTCTCTAGGAGTACTCAGTTTGATCAATGATCACTTCGATTTTACCAATGAACATCCAGTTGGGGTGATCAGACACAAGAACTCGTGTCCTTTGGTGTGACGAAAAGCTACCTTAACTAGTCATTCTGAGCCGACTAATTAAGTTAATCCAGGAAATAGCCGATGAATGGCCAGATGAATGACGAGGAGTGCAGTAGATTGAAGACATCAGGATATCTGACCGTGAAACGATAAGCACATTTTGAATAAATATAGGCATGTATTCGGATCGCAGTAGAAGGCAAAGTAAACAATGAAGTCTCCAAGTTTCACGGCCCCGGATCAGTTTATTCTGTTCTATAAAAGTCTATTATAGCAAGCAAATCCTGTCTGGTCGTGTTGCGGCATGAGGTAACTTTTGGACGGGCTATTAAGCGGATTATTCCCCCATAATAAATGAAAACAATCCAAAAAATTAATGCGCGCATACATGAGGCGGATTGCAGAAGCTACTGTCGAATACCTGCTCTAGGAACGAAATCACCTCCCAATATTTCAAAAGCCTTGTACACACGGTACATATGGTACTCTGTCTTTATGGTGAACCTGCATCTAAGCACTGCCTCAAAAGAAGGAATAGCGACAACTCCCGTTTTTAACACTGTTGGATATGCTGAAAGGAAGAATCGATTACTCAATTTTCTGTTACGAAATGAATCTTCAGCGCTAACGAAATCGTCCAGTAATTCGGCAGGGGAAAACCTACGTCGTCAGAAAAGAGTTCAGCTACAAGAAGTTGACAGTTTTATCTGTGACCTTGGCTCGTTTCGCTCACTAGATAAAAAGAAACGCGCCAAGTTCGGTATACCCAAAATCAGTTAGGACATGGTAAGTAATGCTAAGTATGTAGCTTAACCGACCTCATGTTCGTATTGTTACTGGTGGATTCTCCATGGGTCTGTTCGTTTTCTACGAAAAACACTATTGTGCGTCTTAGCGAGGCGAGACATCGATTTTTGGCGTGTTGTTAGTCACTATAAGGCACGCCGCGTAATTTAGATCAAAGCACGCGTTAATAAAACGTTGGGTGAAGACTTGTGCGATCAAAGGATGATGTGTCAAACGACAATCTGTCCAACTTGAAGAAAAAATAGCCTAATCAGTTTCCGGCAAGAGTGGCGTTTAATTCAAATCTTTGCGCAACCCCGTGGTGGTCATTAAACAGAGTTTTCTTAGCATTTGTCGTTACAAACAGTATGAGTGCTCATGAATGGTGATTGCTGTTCTGAATCCGCGCGCGACCAAAGTTGGGACCGTTATTTCAAATCCAATCGAATACCTCCGGGGTGGGAGGATATCCTTAGTGTGGCGATCTAAACTACGCGAGTCCGTGCACTCCAGATATGACAAAAAAGTCAAAGGTCCCGACAAATACACTCATTTGCATACCAATCCGGTCTTCACACGAGACTCACATGAACCCCAACTGAATCGCTCGTTCATAACATTCGAAGATTTTTCAGCAACCTTATCAAGCAGCGTGTTACGTTTATATAAATCCAAACCCCTTTCATCTGGCCGACAAGAAGTACAGATTATGACCTCGAAAGTACAAACCGAGAAAAAACGCAAGTGAAATGCCCAAGGTAAAGCCGTTTGTGCTGTGACACAGACGCCTATCGAAAAGCAACCAGGCCGACCCCGGCGCGATTTCCAAGAGTCCCCACCTTTGGCCCTGCAATGCTACTATATGGTGATCTATGCGCATAAAGATAGCGTAAGATCCTCAAACGAACTGAAAACCGTAGACAGCGGCAGCCAAGTGGGACCATCACAGATTAATATCAGCGGGATGATACTACACATTGCTTGGTTCATAGTTCTCCCGAACGGTTAGGATTGGTTGTCTGTGAACATCCCCAACATAATTCCAAAGATTACGAGGTGAAGCAGTCTTTGCGGTACCAGGAGCCCCTCTTCTGAACCACCTGCGAGCAAATGACCTATGACTATTTTAAAGCAGCGGGACACTTATGGACCGGTTATTTCAGTCAGCAATCATGTCTACCAGGCTAGGGTTGCACCGTCATCCACTCTATATTAGCCAGTGATTATGTCCATAGGTAAGGACGGTGGTCTACGGCTCGGTGCGTTCGGCAGCTCTGGGCAGATTCAATGTGACTAGCTTGAGGATGTTAGCACTTTTATCTAAGGACAGGGACACTCGATAATATATTACCCGACGTACAGAATAACTATGGTCTAAAATGCAAGTAACGACTAGGCCACTAGTTCTCAGCATCTATGAATCTGGATGCATATCTTCCACCCTCAAGTACTGAGTGACAACAGACATATGTGCTACTCAATGCGATACTACTGGGTACTGGTCATTGATGACCAAAAAGTTGTCGCGAGGTGTAAATATCGATCACCAACCTTGAGATAATGATCGTCAATACGAGAGGTTTGTCCGGCAGAAGTCTCCAAAACACCACGCTCGGAGATGGCCGCATCGTCAGAAGGCCCCAGACACTCTTCCAAATCCAAAATACCTTCAGTGCTGAGTCCATTAATCTCTTCATCCTCGTCTTCATCGCTGTCCACATCAGCATCTAGTCGCGTGAAGATCAGGTGCTCCAAAAAAGGGATCATCAAGTGAATAGCTTGTGATTCCAAGAACTTCACCACCTGACCTCGATAGGCTAACGAAGGAACCGCTGAAACTGAAAGATATGTAGTAAAAGACGATATACGCTTGACAAATTAAAGAGGGCATCAGAGCACCAGTACAAAAGTAATGAAGTAGACCTTGTAAGCAGTCTAATTTCGGAGAATGGGAAACACAAACGCTAGAAACGAGCATGTTTCAAGTGGAGTAGAATACGCATCCGGTGCGTTGAAGGATAGCTGTTCGTAGTCAGTGGACGATAGAGTGATATCGCCGCATACATCAGTAACTCCTGGAAACTTCGTAAAAAGCAATGAAGCGGTTCTTCATAACTCATTTGATCGGACACCTCCAGAAGGGGATAAAAACCCGGTAGAACGGCTACGTAGCGCGATTGCGAAAATCACCCATTTGGGTGCTACTACCTGCTTCCTGAGCAGCCGCTAGCTCGACACCCAATCAAATTTAGACACAGCGATGGGGTAACATTTTGGATCCCAATTTGACTGGCTCTGTGCCTCCTGGGAACAAGTGAAGGGCGCTGCCTTCGTATGATTTCGGGTCTTCTCATTCCTGTTGCCAAAGTGTTTACGTAGAGCAGTATGCCCTTCATTCGCTCAGCTGTAGCGCCCTTCCGGTGCCTAGTTCCCATGCCACCCGAAAGAAGCACGAGGGCTGTGATACTGCCAGGTTGCCCAAGCCTAGACAGGGGAAGTCGAGAGGCAGAGATCGGGTTCAAACCACGGACCTTCCGGTCAGTAAATTCGCGCTCTAACCACTTGAGCCATCTCGCCCCTTCATCCAAAGTGGCTGCGGAAATCGTTACTGTGATCACAACAGACAAGCAAACCAATGCGAGAAGAAGCACAAAAAAACTGCAATGATGCGTTCGCACCGAACCAAGAAAGAAGTACACGTCAGATACGCCGGCTCTGAGCATCCATTAACTATCCACATCTGTTGGCACCAACAACAAAAACGATTTCGTTTATTCAAAAAAACTGTGAACTGGGAGTTTATTATGGTGAAGGAAAAAAGATTTGTGCTGGATGTGGAGTTTGGTTAGAAGATTTGATGCAAGAAAACCACAAAGAAACAACATGTTCACTAGTTGTGGTTAGCTTATCACATGGTTTTGAACGGAGGTGAATCCAAGACCAGTCCGTTTGACAAAGTCGTTGGAAAGTTGTCACGATTAATACCTTGAAATTCCAATCTCACCGAAACGTTGCTTGCAAAATGTCCCACGAATGTTCTGAAATAGCCGGGTCAAACGCATGCATGGCAGCAAGAAATTACCTAAACTTACATTCGCCATGAGGTCATTTATATGATGTTGTTAGCGGTGGAAAGCTGCCTATCAAGGCCACGACCGGTTCTGCTATATCCATCTGATGAGTTCTAATCAGAACAAAAAGCACGTAGTGGACTGATTCTTTTCGTGGGTGACCACTATCTCCCCTCATAGATATTTATTTATAACACGAGTAATCAGTGGGGCGGATAAGTAACTATCAACCCCACGGTTGTCTATTAAGTGCCATTTCCTTGGTTATAGGATCCACACGAAACAGGAACACAATACGTGTACTGTTGAAGAAGAATTTACTGTCGATCTAAAAAGTGTGGATCGCAACCCTTAGCGAAGTTGTGCAACGGACGTGCAAAACTAAACACTACCGGGAACTAGGAGTCTTCGAAATCGGCAGTTTTCAGTGTGTGACAGACCAATGCACACCCAGCATCCATATTATCAGTTCTATTCGTCGAATCTTATGAAAACTGTGTTCCTGAATTTCCTCTCACTCAAGCATTCTATGGGGAAAATCAGTACAAAAATATCAAGATTACCCAGCACTATATCTTGGAAAATACAACTGCTAGGGTCTCCGAACATCAAAAACAGACCCCGTAACCTCATTTTGGAAAGTATCCACATTGTTTCAACATCCATACCGGCTACCTCGAACACTAGCATGATAAGCAGCAAATGTGTGAACAACTTAACACATCAAGGTGGATAGTGTACTAGGGGTAATGCCCAGTGACGCAAAATGTAGAACAAGTGACGTGACTAATCCATTGTTCTAAGGCGATGTACCCTAGCGAGCAGTTCAGGTGTTAGAAAAAGATCCACACAGTTGTCGAACGCAAGTTAGCAAACGCTAGGGTCATAGCGACTCCACGGTGACCTTTTCATGAATAGCAATGAGAACAGAAAACGGTAAGCGTCGACGGTTCCCGCGCAGTTGCCTGTCAAATGCAAATATCGAAGAAAAAAAACAGAAAAAGAGAGTTTAAAAGTTATCGTGAAAATTACCACTAGACTTTTTCTCCCGACCCGTCATTTGCGTAAGTGCCATCGCAGACAGCCGTTCCGTGTGTAACTGTCGCTCCCATGCGGTAAAAATGCGCATCCACGCGATCGGGTAATTATGCATTATCCAACCAGCAAACTCAGCTACTAAATCGAAGGAGGTAGGACCGAGATTTTGAAAATAGTTCACCATATGCCGTGGGTCTCCAAGCTGTTCAAGCTCCGTAGAATAAACTTTGGTTGCGTCCACACAGACTATACCTTCAGCAGCATGTTCAAAGGTGGATGGGGTCAATTTCGTTCCGGACCGCTTCAATCTCAAAAGGCCTAGCTGTTGCAGCACGGCAAGTGCTTTCCGATGCAGTCCGTGAGCTTGATAAAGCATTACGAGATCCTTTAAAGTTGGAGAAAAGAACAAGTTATTTGGCCCACTTTCCAGCGCGCTTAATGTTGCAAACAACAAACCAATCATAGAAAATAATCCGGCTGGCACCACTCATTTCATTTTGGGAACTCGAATTAAAACAAATAAGCTTTCAAAGGTATTGGACCGCGTCAGGCCCGTTGTTTGAGAAAATGCTGATGGTGTGGCAGTCAAGGCTATCCTCGGTTATATAAGACTAGAAACAATACCTATCAGATTGCTTTCACTGAGATGCGGGAGTACCAGTGTCTGCCTAACTGCTTAGCAAGGGAAAGCTCTATCCAACGATAAGCCGTATAGTATCGAAACCTTCATACTGGAACGCTGCGATGCATGCCAACCGAGTATCTCATGCTCCGTCCAAAAACGAATGGATGCATGTTGTCCAGGCTCCATGCAGAAGTAACTATGCTAACGCAAACTAACTTCAAAGCAGACCGAACCATGACTTGGCAGAGGGGTGCGAAAGGCGTTACGAAAAGTCTGGGTGCTCTCGGTGCGACTTGCCTCCTAAGATGGAGGCCGCGTGATCCCCGTGCGCCTGGTTGGAGGCGCGGCAAGATATGGCTGCCCGTCAATATCAGTGGCGTTCTCGTTATCATTTTCTATCCAGATTGCTTGAATGACTGTCTGGAGAAGTGACACCTCGAAATGATTGTGGTAGGCTAGGAGTGAACCCCTTCCCTGTCCACCTTTATTTCTTTTTTTTACCAAATGGCCTTCCAATAAATCATGATTTTGCGGCAGCGAAGCATTCCTGTTAAAAATTGATGCTATATTGTCGATGGTGACATCTTGAGCATATGCTGACTTCATCGAAAAAAAATGACGCACGTGCGTGCAACTGTGGATACAGCTAAAACTTTGACAAGTAGAAATACTGAAGAGGTTAATATTGACCTAAGCTGATGAAAGCCATACTGTCAAGAGTATACCTTTTGCAACTTCGGATCCGTCTCGACTGTGAACCCTTACTATTCTGATAGCTACTCATAAACTAAACTCTTCATTTTACAGAAAACCAAAAAGGAAAACCGGTCACATGGAACACACAATCGGTATAAATCAGGAAGGTCAGATTCCTGAAAGCAACCGCTGAATGCCCGAAAACTACTGAGACCCTCAGTTCCGCCAGATGCTGACCAGACAGACAACGGGCCCTTAATATGCAGCGCGTCACAGCCTTGTGTGAAACCCAGACAGCTCGAGTCAGCGTTGGACTAAGTTCAGACAGTGCCCCTCCAATAAATAGTTTGAGACCGTCGTGTTTTTGCTGTCGCACGTACCCACGCTCTCGCACTCGTTTGTTCGGAATACAGCTGTTGCGTGAGTCTTGGTGAATTCGATTGTGAGATGGAGATAGCAGGACACCGTGATTGTGGTATTGTCTACCTTGCTGCTTGTGAGCTTAATCTACTGGGCATAGACTGGATAAATCGCTTGCATCTTTCAACATTGTCAATCGACAACTTATGCATATCAAAACCAACTCAAATCTGGGGTGTCTGAGGCGAGTAATCCAATCAATGCCGTGATCCTACGACTACAAAAGAAATATGAAGACGATTTTAGCGAAGGTCTTTGACGTTGCTCGAAAGCAAAAGTGGTGCTTCATCTGCGCCCGGCAATCCAGCCAGTTTTTAGACCCAAAAGGTCAGTGCCATACGTGGTTTTACCAATCCTCGATGCCGAAATCAAACGCATACAATCAGTATGATGGATTGAAAAGTAGTTAAATTTATTGTCTTAGTTAGGGTCCTCTCGGAAAAACGGGTAATTCGTGATTAACTAGAAAGAATTCACATCAATCGTACGAAAAACTTATTGCGCTTGTCAACTAGATACGTTTAGGCAATATTTCCAAAGGTCTTGGTAGATATCAACTCCCAATCTCTGCATCATATCATCTAACCAATCGACACCGACCAGTGAATTTATACAGAAGGAAGAAACTACTCGGGACAGTCATATGGGACAGACGTACCTGATAGCGATGATGTTCAAGAAGAGTCTTCTCGGATTCCTCCAGGTTACACGAATTCGCCTGACGTAACAGCGGTGCGACTCGTGCAGTGTTCGTGGCCAGGTAGCACTTTAGTAAACAGGTGTCGATTACACCAAGGAGTGCTAAAGCTGAGGTGATTGTAGGACTACCATCCACAATCGGGTAACAGCGGATGGTGACGTCTGCAATTTCGCCGGAGTTGGCCGAAACATGAAAGTCCCTTGTCAGGATGGAGCTTGTAGAGAAGATTCTTCTGCGATTGTACGAAAGCGCTTGATGCACGAGTCGACGCCAAGTTAGCAGATAGGTAATGACCGGTTCCGCCGCATTCGAAAATTGCGCACGGTCGACGGGCTGTGGCAGTAGCAAAAAGTAGCAGGCTCGGTTGTGTAAACAGCTGTGGCAAACCCGAATCGAGTCACACAGGCACAATGGAGACTACAGCCGCTATTACGCTTAGTACTGCCGCGATGAACGACTGTTTGGAATGGGTTCAATAGCTTGCTTATGTGGACATACCAACAAAAAACCACCGTCAGGATAGTTGCAGTCAGACGATTATCAAGGAAAATTGCCTACTTAGTGATGAAATGTCAATAAAGTATTGGCAGTAGCACAAGAACGTACCACGTGACCAACAGGATACTGCCGCTCTGACTGCATTTCATCGGAAAGCAAATCAGGGAAAAGCCCCAACACGTGAGAAGGGTCGACCAATTGCTGGGTGAAAATTTGAAGGGAGCGTGCGAATTCTTGCTGTTGGTACAGGTAGTAAGCCTGTAGGATGGCGATTGGTCGTGTCTCAATCGGATTTTGTCCCATCCACGGTGCTTCCTTGGCCAAGAGTAGGGCTAAATCAAACTCCTGCAGTTGAGCGAAACAACATCAGTACTCAGAAGTTGAAGAATAACCGCTTGCATTGATGTGCTGTTAGTAGTTTGGAGAAACAGCCGACGCACTCATTCTTGGATTCGGTGTCAAAAAAATGTAATTTATGAGGCAAACAGAAAAAACGTTTAAAGACAATGGAAGCGCTTTCGAGTCCGGTAGTACAAACGGCACTGTCGGCTGAGAACCAGTGCTGCTAACCTATATCGATGATAAAAGTTCTGGGTAAGTTCAGCTTATATAATAATTGACTTCCCTCGTTACTCACATTCTCTTTAAGTCTACCCACAGACACATTGGGATGGTCGCATCAAAACGCGCAACAGCTTTCCAATCACATATTCCCATAGGTGAGGACAGAAGAGAACATAACCGAACGTTTTCTATGTTAATATGTATAGGTATCCTCCGAACAGTGTCTCTATATGAAACTTCGACGTCGCAGTATGAATCTGCGAATGTGCGGTAGGCAGATAGGGTACCTCAAGGGGAAGTGCAGCGCTTTTAGGTCTGGTACCTTAGGCTTGATATCCATCTATTCTTCCTAACATCGCATTCGAACAACTTCAGCTATCTATC